TGGTTTAAGTAAGAATAAAAGTGTTTTGTGAGCTTAAGATTGGTGAATGTTGTTCAGTTCAATTCTTAGAACAATTAAAAACAAAAACAAAGAAAAACTTTAAAAATGATTAGATGTAGTGTCTTAGCACGTAAAAGTGATAGTGAACGTAAACTAACCGGTATATCATTTAACTCGTAAGTACAGTACATTTTATCTGGTATTACGTAAAAAATTCAATTTTTATTTTAAATTTCGTTACAGAACTATATAAATATACGTTTAAATTTTATCTAAATATGTTAAAAGTATACCTAACCTAAAACCAAGTTGAAACCCTATTTATCGTCCTTTGTCACTCGAGGCCACGCTAATCATTAGTATAGACTAATGATTAGCGTTAGAGAAACCTCTCTGTCTGCGATCGCTACGTACTAAAGCATATCCCACCTGCCCATGAAAATTTGTAGAATTTATAGCAGCGCTGCCGTCGGTGAGTAGTGGCTGCGAAGATAGCTGTTTATGAGAACAAGTAGATGAAGTTAGTTGAATAATGTATAAATTTTCTTCGCGGCATTGGTGAGAAAATTGTCACGCTCCTTTATTTTTTAATTTTTGACAAAAAGAAACATTAAAAAATGGAGAAATATTTTATTGTGCGTGGACGGGCAATTGGTTTAGCATCTGATCGGAAAAATAGACTGAAAATGACTTTTATTGAGTGAAGTTAGCGATCGTAACGATTTCTTATATTTACGCGAACACTACACATTGATTAAAACTACTTTTACGGATTTTATCGCGTTTATTTTACTTTCAATTACTTTTATTTTTAATTCCCGACGTTTCGGGCGCTTTCCAGCACCCATGGTCACGGGGGACTGAGATGACTGACGTCCCGATGTCATTGTTAAAACCGGAGTACCTTCAGCTTTTTTAATTATTGTTTATGGTCCGATCTATGCAAAATGAACTGACTACGTCCTGAGGTCTTGCAGTGGTATGCTTGGGTTTAGTTTTAATTTTATTGACTATAGGATCCCAAGAAGGTGGTAGTACCCAGCCTCCATCTCTATTGAAATTAGGATGTTTTTTAATTTCAATAGCCTCACGTATCATCCTTGGTAGGAATCGGTGTTCTTTCGCGAGGATTTGTGGTCTATCAAATCTGATGTAATGGTTGGAGCCGTCTAAGATATGATCGCAAACTGCAGACTTCCCGGAACGTTGATACTTCATATCAGCTATATGTTCTTTTACGCGGGTTCTAATTGATCTTTTTGTTTGTCCTATATAAGAGAGACCACATTCACAATCAAGCTTGTACACTCGTGATTCTTGTAGAGGAATATGACACTTGACGGATGGTAGGAACTGACTAATCTTCTTCGGCGGCTTGTAGAATGTTCTAATCTCTCGAAGCTCGCTTCAAGATGTAGCCAATCTTGTCTGTGACACCCCTGACATATGGTAGTACAGCAGGCACACGCTCGACTGTGGCCGGCTTCACTCGGTCACTGCGACGTAGGCGCGGGATCCGAAGCTTGTTGTCATGCAGAACTTGCTTGACGTGCTGAAGCTCGGTGGCCAGGTGTTTGCTGTCACAGATCCCTCGTGCTCTCTGTAACAAAGATTTGCCCACGGTAGCTAACTATGAAGGATGGTGGTGAGATTCACCGTTTAAATATCGGTTTGTATGGGTCTTTTTCCTATACACAGTGTGACCAATGGTGTTGTTAGGATTTCGAATGACTAACACATCTAGGAAAGGTAAGGAATTATTTGCCTCTAACTCCATAGTAAATTGAATTTTAGGGTTTATGGAATTAAGATGTTCTAAAAATGCAGTTACTTTGTCTGATGGTAAAATTGTGAAAGTATCGTCTACGTACCGCTTGTGGAGGGCTTTCTCCTCAAAGTCTTCCATGAATATATCGGCGACAATGGGTACAGGTGAGCCCATCGCAACACCATCTACTTGCTTGTAAAACTCTTCTTTCCACAATAGATAGCCAGATGTAAGGCAATGTCTGAGTAATACTGCATATTCTGCTGGCATAACATGCATTCCTAGTTATTATTGAGATGCAATCTTCAACAGTTAGGCATGTAAATAGAGACTGAACATTAAAACTGACCATGGTTTCATTGTCAGTAAGACGTAGGTCTTTTATCTCACTGACAAAATGGTATGAATCTTTAGTGTGTGCTCTTGTGTGTCCTCTGAGTGGTGATAATATTTTAGCTAAGTATTGAACCAATCTGTAAGTTGGCGAATCAATCTGACTCACTATTGGACGTAATGGAGCGTTCGGTTTGTGTATTTTTGGTAACCCATACAACTTCGGTGGTTTGGCACATGAAGGTATTATCGAATTAACTTCCAGATTCAATTTCTCGGAGTATTTCTTAATTAGATCGCTAGTTGTTTTAAGCGTATTAGTTGTAGGGTCTGTTTTGACCTTTCGGTATGTAGTTTCATCCGATAAAAGTTGTTGTATTTTAAAATTGTAATCTGACGTATCCATTATAACCGTAGCATTGCCTTTATCTGCGCGAAGAATCGTAAGCTCTGGTCTGTTGCGTAAGTTTTTTAACGCGTTAAATTCATTTTTGGGAAAATTTAATTTCGGCACTGAACTTCGACGTAACATAGACGAAATGTCTTGACGTATAGCCTCTAAATCTTCATTACCAATGTTATTTTTATACAGACAGTCCTCAACACTACAGATAATGTCCTCATACGGTATTTTTCGCGGTGTTATTGCGAAATTCATACCTTTTTCTAAAACTTTTATTGTGGCGTCGTCCAGTGTTTGTTTTGATAAGTTGTAGACAGCGCGTTGTTTATGATTCATGTCTGTGGTGAACGATTTCGTATGTTGGACATTTGATTTAGTTGTTAATTTATGGTATTTATCAATATATTTATTTTTGCGTTCATTGTATTTAGTTGTTTCGCGTTTATCTAAAGTTTCCATGAAATTTTTATAATCAAATGCCGATAAAACTGTCTTTAATTCACTGGACGAATTGTCTATGGTTTTGTTTATGAAATATAGATCGGTACGTTTTTGCTGAATCACCGTTATTAACAACTTTTTACTAGCCTGATTTAAGATCTTAGCACTTCCTCGAATGTCGTTTTTAGTGGATATCTTGACACAGGTAGGAATAAGATTGTGATCTCTGCGTCTCTTCAAGAAATTTAAAGCTGTTATGTATCTTGCACGCTTGGTCTTTAGATCTTCTAATCGGCGTATTTTATTTGCTATTTCCAGTCCGTACTGGTTTACGTAATGATTTCTTATATTTACGCGAACACTATACATTGATTAAAACACGGGTGATAATCTCCATACAAATATTCCTAGCCTTATGTCTATGGCCCTCAAAAATTGATTTTGACAGCAATTGACTTGGTTTGACGTTTCTGCACACCCACCCTAGTGACGCGGCAAGCGCCGATGCGACGCGTTTGAATATGATAATTGATGATGATTATATGCGACGCCATTACTAGACATGTGTTAATCACTCATTTCTAGCGACCGAATCATTCTAGTACATTTGGGCACGCGTACTGGTACATTCGGATCGATCATTCAAATGGTTCAATTCAGGCTCCAGTACTCTGTGAGTCTGTGAGATCCATTGCGAAGTGTGAGCAGAAAGCGTGATCGGGGTAGAGAAAGAGAGACTGAGTTTAGGGTAGAGTCTGTCTCTCTCGCACAGTCACTGTCATTGGCTGTTTCATTGGGCATGCGCTCGCGCGATGCAACGGTGGAAAACACGCGAGCCAATCAGAAGCATGTGCGAGAGAGACAGACTCTACCTAAACCTTAGAGCACCGATCACGCTTTCTGCTCACACAGTGCTCCCTCCATGTAATGTATGCTCTAAGTTGCGAACCGAAAATTTTATATTTGAGATTTGTAATAGCGCCATCTACTACGTGCTTTAGGTAATAAAGTCATTTTATCGAACTAAAACTTATTAATTTTCAAGGTGATAAAAACTATCGACGCTAGGTGGCATAATCACAAAAACCTCAAGTTATCATATATTTTAAATATTTAATAAATTTGTTTATTCTTAAATTTCATTCCTAACAATACACAGTTTCATCTTACTTTACATGTCTAAAAATAGGGATTATAACATTTATTTGCTACGAAATTAAACTTTTACCTAACTTATATTTATATAAGATGGTTGAAAATTATCATTAAATAAATCATTTATCATGAAATCTTTTGAAGTGTTATTTTTAGTAAACTCTACGAAATGATATTTGTAACTCATAGATTTAACAAATAAATATAATAAAATGTGAAATTAATTTTAATTTAGGTAACAATATTATAATTAAAAACCCTTAAATAATAAATACTGCTGATACTGTGCAGTTTCCGTATATATTCTCTGCTAGGAGTAATGGTGTTCTGTGTATATATTACTCTACTCTATGCTCTGCAGTCTGCATTGTCAATTCAGTTCGCCTGTTTATTCAGATCATTCGGGATTCGGTCGGTTTGCAGCTCATTCACAATTCAAACAAATCGCGGGTTAAAAGGTACCGTCAATTATTTGTTGTTTGTGATTGGTACATGGTACATTCAAAAACAAATGAATGAACCGTCAATACTTCTAAGTGTACCAGCTCAAACGAACGAATCATGCATGATTGACACATGTCTAGTCAGTAATCTATGGTTGAGTCTATAATAATATAATTGTATTTTTATTCTTTTAGGTTTTAGCACTTTCATTTAGGCAAAAATAGAATAAAGTTAGATTGGATTAGATCCAAAAAATGCGTTAAATACTGATTGTTTTAAGTTCTTGTATTAAGGAGTATGATAGATTTTAAAAACATACTACTGGACTGGACTGTCATTTTTCATTCTAAACCTGTGCTAAAGAGATTCATAAAATTAACCTTTTGTCATTGTGAATTAATTTCACTATTTGCTTGCTATTAGGTAGCTGAAAATATAACTGCAGATATTATAAATATGGCCAAAGAAGAGGATGATGATAATTTGCCTGATAAAGATGCGGCGAAAGAATTTTACGCAAAGTATGAACCAAAAGAAATCATAGGCAGGTATGTTAATTAATATATCAAATATATTCTTTGATTGAGAGGCATATTGTGCGTTCGACAAACGTTGTTGCCTATTATTTTGACTTGATTCAAAGGTAAACATTATTTTTAGTTTGCTATGAAGCTTTTCAGTTGACCTCTAAAGAAGTTCTGTCACTTCAATTAAAAATACTATTTTCTTGTTTTTTTTTTACATCAGAGGCATAAGTTCTACAGTCAGAAGGTGCATAGAAAAAGAAACTGGTCATGAGTTTGCTGCTAAGATAATAGATCTCAGTCAAGAGTCTCAGGACGGTGTTGATACGCAAACAATGAGGGATGCCACACGCCAGGAGATAAATATCCTCAGGATGGTGGCTGGTCATCCTTACATTAGTGAGTGAGTTGTTATTAATTTTCAGGAATATGAGCTGTGTTACATACTGCTTACTTATACAGTATACATTACTGTTATAATTATGAAATTGATTTTAATATTTGGTGAAGTGCAGTGTAATGTATGAATGGTGAATAGAAATACCTGAAACCTGAGTATAATTAATGTTGAATACTCAAATCTTATACCTTTAAACGAGCAATTCTTGTATATATATATTGCCGGCCCTTTAGAACGGAGTAGGCTCTTTTTTGAAAGGAATATATATATAGGTATATATAAGGGGGTGCTAAGAATCTGTGGTGGAGGTTCGGTTACCACCTACGACAACTCGACCTGGCAACATATAACGCACGCAGCCTGAGGCCTGACGAGAAGATACTTGATCTGGAAGAAGAGGTAGACAAGTTGCGCTGGCACATTATTGGATTATCCGAGGTCCGAAGAGAGGGGGAGGACTCGGTAATCCTCGAGTCCGGCAACTTGTTCTATCACCGGGAGGGAGACCATCTGTCCCAAGGAGGTGTCTGATTTATCGTCCACAAGTCTCTCCTCAACAACGTTGTAAAGATCGGGAGTGTGTCGACGAGGGTCGCGTACCTGATACTCAGAATCACCAAACGGTATTCGCTGAAGGTCATACAGGTTTATGCACCAACCTCGGCACATCCCGATGAGGAGGTGGAGGAAATGTATGAGGATATTTCCAGAGCCATGCATTCCTCCAAAACCTACTACACGGTGTTGATGGGAGACTTCAACACAAAACTAGGCACAAGAGAAACCAGTGAGCTGAAGATAGGGCAATTAGGAGTAGGGCAACGGAACCGAAGGGGCCAGCAGCTGGCCGACTTTATGGAGAAAGAGGGACTCTTTATGATGAACTCTTTCTTCCAGAAGCGGCCCCACAGGAAGTAGACCTGGTCGAGCCCCGAAGGCTCAACGAAAAATGAGATTGACTTCAATATGATGTTCAGACGTTAACTGTTCAGTGATGTCTCAGTGATCGCAAGGGTGAAAACTGGCAGCGATCACCGAATGGTTAGAGGCTCACTGAACCTAAACGTTAAGTTGGAGAGGTCTCATCTAATGAAGTCAACGCTCCGTCCCCCTCGTGCTCTAAACCAGAATCCCGAAACCTTTCAGCTGGAGTAACTGCTTTCAGTGCCTAGAAGATTGCAATGCAGTGGACGATATGAATGACAAGCTTGTGGAAACTGTCCATGCGGTCGGAGCTAAGTTCTGCAAGACCCGCCGCAGAAGAACACAAAAACTCTCCGATCACACTCTTAATCTCATGGCTGTTAAACGGGAGATGAGGCTGCAATCGTCAACAGATTTGACAGCATATAGGCAACTGAACAGACAGATCTCCAAATGCAAGGGAGACGAAAAACGTTATTAAAGAAGATCGACACTATTCCGATGATATCCTGGACGTCAGTCTGAGCGAGATTAGAATGGCTCTCCAGCACCTTAAAAACGGCAAGGCCCCAGACGAGGATGGAATTACAGCAGAGCTTCTGAAAGCGGGTGGAACACTGGTACTTGAAGTCCTTCAGAAGCTCTTCAATTCCGTCCTCCATGGTGGCACTACTCCGGAGGCGTGGAGCAGAAGCGTGGTGGTCTTGTTCTTTAAGAAAGGCGACAACGCTCTCTTGAAGAACTACAGACCGATTTCCCTTCTGAGCCGCATCTACATGCTGTTTTCGAGAGTCATTACGAATCGTCTTGCACGCAGACTCGGCAACTTCCAGCCTCCCGAACAAGCCGGTTTCCGAAAAGGCTTCAGTACTATAGACCACATACATACCCTGCGGCAGATTGTACAGAAGACTGAAGAGTACAATCTGCCACTTTGCCTGGCATATGTGGACTATGAGGAAGCCTTTGATTCCGTCGAAATTTGGGCGATGCTACAGTCCCTTCAGCGGTGCCAAGTTGACTGTCGGTATATCGAAGTGCTGAAGTGTTTGTACAGTGGGGCTACAATGGCTATCCGAGTACAGAACCAGAGTTCGAAACCTATCCAACTGCAGAGAGGTGTAAGACAGGGTTAGGGCTGTGTTGGAAGACATTTTCAAGCTACTGGACTGGAAAGGATACGGTGTTAGCATCAATGGCGAGTACATCACTCACCTTCGATTTGCCGACGATATAGTCCTTATGGCAGAATCGCTGGAGGACCTTAGCACTATGCTCAATGACCTCAGTGGTGTCTCCCAATGGATAGGTCTTAAGATGAACATGGACAAAACAAAGATCATGTTTAATGTCAATGTCACACCTATGCTGGTAGTTGTTGGGAGCACTATGCTCGAAATTGTTGACGAGTACGTTTACCTGGGACAAATAGTCCGACTAGGTAAGTCCAACTTCAACCGAGAGGTCAATCGACGGATTCAACTCGGCTGGGCAGCGTTCGGGAAATTACGACACATCTTGTCGTCAGGTATACCTTAATCTCTGAAAACTAAAGTGTACAACCAGTGCGTTTTTCCAGTGATGACTTACGGATCTGAGATGTGGTCCTTCACTGCTGGCCGTATGATTACGCTCAAGGTCGCTCAGCGAGCTATGGAGAGGGCTATGCTCGGAGTTTCTCTGCGTGATAGACTCAGAAATGAGGATATCTGCAGTAAAACCAGTGTGACCAACATAGCCCAACAGATTAGTAAGCTGCAGTGGCAATGGGCCGGCCATATAGCTCGAAGCACCGATAACTGATGGGGAAGAAAGGTTCTCTAGTGGCAGCCTCGTACCGGTAGGTGTAGTGTAGGGCTACCTCCCATTTGATGGAGTGACGACCTGGTAAGACATGCAGGAAGTCGATGGATGCAGGTGGCTCAGGACCATGCTTTGTGGCATTACTTGGGGGAGGCCTATGTTCAGCAGTGGACTTGTGAAGGGCTGTAATGATGATGATGATGATATATACATACATACATATATATATATATTTTTATATATATATATATATATATATATATATAGGTAGTTTTTAATTACTCACATTATTAGCAAATCACCCTAATACTAAGAATATATTGAATGCCTCTCATATGATGACAAAGATACATATTTTTTTGCATGTTTAATTTCATCATATATTTTTAGTGCAAGTTGTAGCCTGCCTGTACTGCATTATTTTTCACATTATCTAGAGACATTACAAACCTTTTTTTTGCTATACCTATCAAAATCAAAAAAAAAAAAGTGTTTGTTATAGTCGCCAAGTAGTTCACAGGACACCTTGTTGAACAGACATGTAGGACAGATCAAAAGTTGTTGGCTCATTTTCCCATAAAGAAAAATAGTTTGTTTTAAAGTGATTTCTTCTACTAATGTCTTCTGCTGTTGGTGGAGTATGCATCATTATCACCACAACCAACACCAAACTGTGTGATGTATATGAGGTTATTTTGACACAATCGGCTAAATTTGCAGTCAGTGCAGATTAAGTAACATAGGCAAATGGTGAAGAAAAATTAATTGAAATAAATCTCAAACATTGTCATTTTTATCTTTTAAATTCAAAATATGTAATAACACATTATTTTAACTGATTTTACTGCGCACACACACATTTGTAAGGGTCAGTCTGTAGGCAAAAACACTGTTGCCCATAAATCACTTACAATTTGGGATAATTTCAAATAATAGTAAGAAGCCATTTTTACTCGTATTTTCAAAAACTGCAATAACTGTATATCTTTATTTATATATTTGAACTTAAGTTTAAAATTTGGCTAGTCTGAAAAATAACCCTATGTAGTATTTTTTTAAAATAAGCCAAATTTTTTTATGGCATAAGTAATTTTAAAACCATTGTCTTCTTTCTTCAGACTATTAACAGGCCACTGTGGGACCCTGGCCATAGTAGGAAGACTAAAAATATGGAAAATGGGTTATATGGCATATTTTCCTAATTTACCCATGTCCATTTCCTTGTAATACTGCATTGCTATAACTGGATGGCCAGGATGCAATTTTGGAAACACATGGACTATCACAACACAACTATACCTTAAAAAGAAAATTTATTTTAATGGAGATGGAGTGCTCTGTTTCCCCGCGGTGGATGCTTGGCGTCCACCACTGTATGTTTCACAAGGAGTTTTCTTCCGCGTACGAATTCTCTGTGGACTAGTTTACCACCGGCGATTTTTCCGGACCGATACGACCTAGGGACCTTCAAGAAAAGAGCTTACTCTGTTCTAAAGGGCCGGCAACGCACCTGCAATTCCCCTGGTGTTGCGGTTGATCATGGGCGGCGGTAATCACTTAACATCAGGTGAGCCGCAAGCTCGTTTGCCCCCTCTTCTATAAAAAAAATGAAAGTTTCAGCTAGGATTAGAGCCAATAGCATTCAACATATTAGCCAGCTACTGTGACTCGTAGCCACGTGAACAACATGGAAGCAAACCTAGAGATGGGTGGCAGCGGCTATATTGTGGTTGCAGCACGAATGGGTCGGCTTGACTGGGGTAGGATCGCGGTCTCACAGACAGCAGTGGACTTTTGATTTTCATATACTGTTTCAGTAATTATCCTGTAGGTATTGTGGATTTAATAATCTTACTAGTCATTTCTATGACAAAAACTAACCTTGACCTGTCAACCTATGACATAGGTTTTGTTGTTTAATTAATTAGTAGATTTAATATATTACAATTCATCTTTTGTTCATATTGTCTATTAAATTATCTGGCTAAAGATCCACTAGTATCGAAATTTTAATATAATATATAGTTTTTGTTCGTGTTCGTATTCTATTTTCACACATCCTAGGTTGACTTGGAGAAAATACTAAAAGACATTGAGTCTGCCTTTTGAAATCTTTTTTAAGGGTGTTGCATAATGTATAAATAATATGTATATAACAAATAAGTAATAATATGTTTGATTTATTCAGAATTTTTGTGTGTATTCATAATATAACTTTTTTATTTTATTTTTTATAACTTATGTTATAACACGGTATTCCTCCATGGCCTTTATCTTCTTTTGGGCAATAGCAAATATTTTTCTCTGTTTCTCTTCTAGACAACCTTGGACCCTAAAATATTCATGTGAATATACAAAAGTATCCTGCAATAAAAAGCCTGATATTTTGTACTGTCTGTAAGTAAGGTTATTGCTTGGGATTCTAACAATATGCTTGTTCACAGTTGAACTGCAAGATGTGTTCGAATCGGAGACATTCATCTTCTTGGTGTTCGAGCTGTGCAAGAACGGCGAACTTTTCGACTACCTCACGTCCGTCGTCACTCTATCCGAAAAAAAGACTAGATACATTATGAGGTGAGTATACATAACATTTTTGATAACTTTCTACCTTTCTAATTGCAATTGCTTAGTGAAGACAGAAGATCGTGGGTACCTTTTATCTGTGAGTCTGAAATTATATCCAAGCATACTTTTGCTTTTATCACATTTTTAACTTACACATACAAATTACATATAGATTCGGTTTTTACCCCCATTTAAATTTATATGTTCTAGAAGGAAGTTCGTGTATAATGTGAGCAAATGCCCTAGGCGCAATTCAAAGGAAGCGCAAATAATTAATCTCATGTGTTAATTTTAAAAACGAAGGATCGTAATTTCAGTTTAAGACCCAGGACCCATTTCATTCATTTCATTCAGAGGATAAGTTAATTGAAATCAGAGCCACGTCGCGTACATATTTTCTCTGTTTGAGCAATTTATTTTGTATAAAAGTTTTACTTAATCAATTTCATACCGTAAAAAAAAATACATCATTCTACTGCTGGACCCCCTCACCCTTATTAGAAAGAACTTGTCATTGTCTTGCCGTTTGGCAGAATGGCTGATTGCAGAAGACTGATCCTTACTCGAGGTATCAAAATATATAATAGACTAAAAAGAGATAAAAGGGGTATTAAATTATATAAAATAATCATATTATAATATTAGTACAATTAGTAAGATTGGTATCCTACCAATCCTAGTAATCCTAGGTGCTAGTTGATTATACCAACATGGAAAATACATAATACATACATAAACACTCACGCCTGTCACCCAGAGGGGTAGGCAGAGACTACAGACTTCCATTTGGCACAATCCTGACACACCTCTCTCGCCTCCTTCACATCCATATACCTACGCATACATGTTCGTCGCTTAAGGGTACTCCTAATTTGGCCCGTTTTCAATAAATCGCCCATTTGGTCGATAAATTTTCGCCTAGGACGTCCCTTTCCGACTCTGCCATTCACTTCTGCAACATAAATTTTCTTTGTCACTCTTTTCTCATTCATTCTTTCCACATGACCAAACCACCGAAGCATTCCTATCTTAATCCTGGTCACAACATCATATTGCAAACCACACTCTTCTCTTATCACACAATTTCTTACCCTGTCATTCAGATTCAGCCCTAACATACTCCTTAACGACCGCATTTCTACTGCGTTCATTCTACTCTCGTGCTTCTTCTGCCACACCCAACTATCACTACCATATGTTAAAGTAGGGACCACCACAGCATTGTGAATTGCCATACATGCCTTTTCCGACACGTTTTGACTCTTCACAATAGAGTGTAGGGCCCCATTTACTCTATTTCCTGCATTCATTCGTCATTCTATATCCTTATCACATCTCCCATCCCTGCTAAATACGCAACCCAGATATACAAACTCATCCACTTGCTCGATCAACTCCCCTTCTATTCTTATTTCACATATCGTCTTACTTTCTTCTCTTTCAAAAACCATAACTTTCGTCTTACTTGCGTTCACTTTCAAACCCCTTTCTTTTAATGATCTGTTCATTAATGTAACCATCATTTGCAGCTCGGCCGCCGACGACGCAAGAATAACTTGATCATCGGCGTACAAAAGGCATTTGACGGTTATTAATCCGCATTTCTCAACTTTCAAATTTTGCAAACAACTGTCCATAAATAGGTTGAACAGCCACGGGGAAGCCACACAGCCCTGTCTGACACCTTTATGGATGCCAAACCAGTCCGAGTAGACCCCGTTGATCCTAACACAAGCACTAGAGTCCCCATAAAGCGACTCCAATGCCTGTATCAAGCCAGCGCTCAACCCAAATGAATTCAGTTTGCCATAGCACAGCCCTATCCACTCTGTCATAGGCCTTTTCCAAGTCCATGAACGCACAAAAAACCTTTTGGTTTTTGGCCAAAAACTTTTCCGCGATCATGCGTATGGAATAGATTTGATCTGTACATCCCATTCCCTTTCTAAATCCCGCTTGCACATCCCAAATTTTTTCATCAGTTTATTTTATGACCCTTTCAATAAGTACCTTAGCATACAGTTTTCCCACAATGCTAAGAAGGCTGATACCACGGTAGTTTTTACAGTCCTGCTGCGACCCTTTTCCTTTATATACTGGGAATATCACGGCTTTGCACCAGTCTACCGGTACCCGCTTCAGTTCTCAGCATAAATTAAACAAGGTGTGCAGCAGGCCTGCCACCACTTCCTCTCCAGCCCTTAGCAATTCAAGTGAAACTCTATCATATCCGGCAGCCTTACCTGCTTTCATGCTTTTCATTGCTTTCATTATTTCATCTATACTTATCTCGCTACCTCTTACCTCTTCTTTCAGAGTTTCTACTTCATTTAGTTTATACGTTGTCTCCTCACTCATAAAAACGCTTTCAAAATATTCCTTCCATCTCTTTAAACTCAAAACTTCATCATTCAGAATACAGCCATTCTCATCTCTTATAGCATTCATTATAGGCTGGTTTGAATGTCCCCTGGCAGTTCTTACGAGCTTCCAGAACATTTTAATATTTGCCTGGAAGTTATCCGATATTCTTCTATCATTCTTATCCGTTCTTACTTGCTTTTTCCTTTCAACTACATGGAAAAATGTGAATTTCTTTTATTTTTCATTGGGCGAATTTTTTGGTATCTACTATACGGTATGGGTCGAGCGAATCTAATAAACTGTCACCAAACAATACACTTTATTCATATTAAAAATTAACTCATTTTGTGAAGTGAAGTGTATTTTGCTTTTTTTTTCTGTAATTTTTAGCGTTCAGTACTACCTTAAAGTCAATGGGTGCGTTTGGCAGAAAAAAGCGCTAGCAAGCGCTTGTAAGCAAAATGGCGATCGTAAGCGGTAAACGCTGTCAAATCGTAAGTAGCTATTTTCCTCCAGGACACGATGTTAGTTTTAACCGAGGAACCTAACCTAATTTAAATATATGTTTGTAAAGTATTCATATTAAAAACTTACCAATCATGAATTTTTAATTACATGTATATGTTTATTCACGTTATTATATTACTTAAAACTAATATTGCACAAAACAACTTATAAACTCTATTTCAAAACAAACAAATTAAATAAGCAAAATGGCGGATTGTGTCAGCGCTACTGAAGTAGTAATCGTGTCCTGGCCGAAAACTATTTCAGCGCTTGTAAGCGCTTGCTAGCGCTTTTTTCTGCCAAACGCACCCAATCCCTTGTTAGTTCCGTTCTATTTATCACAGATCTAACGAAATCTTTTGATAATCGTAGGTGTGCGTGCAGTTAAACCGCTTCTTATTTGCAAACAAATTTTTGGTGATGAAGCGTGTTTATTTTACTTACATTTAGTAACCTTACCTATCTTCAGCCTGTTATTATTATTATTGTTAGATCTAAGCGTAATTACCTTACAGTATTTTGAATTCTTGCGGTGGTTTTTTATTTTTTAGGATTTATGAGACACATTTTATAACAAGCTACAAAATAGTAAGTTTGAGTGGTTTGAGGTAGAAGGAAAACAAAAAAAATTGAACGCGTAATTTTGTACACACTTGCGGCATATCATTCTTCTTTTATTTTATATTTTACATAAGTTGGTTAAATGATAGTATACTCATACGTGTGAAAAGTTACAATAAAACGTGACGTTTTTGATTTTAAATACCATACAAAATTTCTCCACTACGTCGATAAACAAGTTTCACTTCAAAAATAAAAATAACACTAAAATAATTATATAGTAATAACTTTTGGTGTTATACTTTAAATCTGCATAATCAATTTATTTGGTCACCTATTTCAGTTCGCAAAAATCCACTGTTGAACGTGAGCTGTCTCCAGGTGTAGGACTTGCCTTAATCAGGATCAATCAGATGATAATTATACGTGGTAGAGCCATGCTGCAGTTATATTAGTAGTATAGTTGTAGCACGAATGGGTCGGCCCGACCGGGAAATGACCACGCTCTCACAGAATACCAGCGTAAAATAGTAGCTAATGCTGTGTTTCGTATGGTGAGTATAGAGAACCGGAGACCCTTTTTACTGGAAACGGGGCATTTCATCTTAGTTCTCACGGGTGACAACGCATCTGCATTTTGATTCGTAATCGAGGATAGATGTAGATGTCTATGGGCTGCAGCAACCACTTACCATTACCATCAAGTGGACTGTGTGCTAGTCACCCTATCCTATAAAAAAAACCTTGCAATTGGCAGGCGGACAGACAATCGCAGTACCAGACGTCTCGCAACTTTAACGTTGCTTCCTGTCGTTGATCTGGATATTTTACGTCTGGCGTAACCATTACCCATTCTTCACAGCCTATTGAAATTCACTGCTGGATGCCTCCGTCATAGATTGCTTCATGGGGAGTTTTGCCATAGTTGTCAAGCTTGCTAAGCGAGATGGCAACCGCAGTTTTTAATTATTTTCAGTTTTTCAGTAGTAATCGGGAAAAGCTGCTGCCAATCTCCTGTTTCAGTTTCCCTGTGTCGGCTCTTACGACACCCTCGGGGTGATATGGGGTGGTGGATTTTCTTACACTACCACTATACGGTACGTTTGGCATAAACGATATGATAGTCTGCCATCCATCGGAAGCCATAATTTTTTTCTGGCATTTCCAATAGTTGCCCAGTTATGACACCCAAGGGAAGAAATTACTAATTTTCTAATGACGTCACAGTAGCAAAATATTCGGTTTGAACAAGCTTGAATACTTGGTGTGTGCTCAAAGTAAAAACGAGGTATTAATTCTATATTTACTTAATTCATCACATAATACCATCGTCAACTAGCAGCTTAATGCTGCTGTGTTTCGTATGGTGAGAGTGTAGAGAACCGGAGACCCCTTTTTACCGAAAACAAGGCATTCCATCTTAGTCCTCAGGGGTGGCAACGCATCTGCATTTTAATTCTTTATCAAGCATACCATCAGGTGGACTGTGAACTCTTTTGTTACCCTTATTTTATAAAAAAAATCCCATATGGCTGCCTCGTTGTTCGAATCCTTGGGCCAATATCAGTTATTGGGTT